TTCTGACACACTTCCTCATATTAACATAACGCCTTTAAAAATACACTGAAGTATAGAAGAGTGAATTGAAACACTGTTCATAGAATCATACAATGGTTTCGGTTGCAAGGCACCTTAAATACCATTTAGTTCCAATTCCCTTGCCATGGGCAGGGAACCCTCCACTAGACCACGTTACTCAGAGCCCCACCCAGCCTACTCTTGAATACTTCTGGGGATGGAGAGTTTATAATCTCCCTGGGTAACCTCTTCCAGTGCCTCACACTCCTTACAGTAAAGATTTCTTCCTAATACCTAATATAAATACCCACCCTCCTGCTTAAGGTCATTCTCCCTTGTCCTATCACCACATGTCCTTGTAAAAAGTCACTCCTCTCCAGCTTTCTTGTAGGTCCCTTTAGGCACTGGAAGGCTTAAAACTAAGTCGCTACATTTTAATATTATATGCACACCTACCAGTTCCTGGAACCACAGTCTTTTCAAATATTACAACAAAATATTAGCATAATGTTTGGGTTCTGATTAAGGATTAAAAAAATATATAAAAATACATTATCCATTATAGTAAATCTGTGCAAAATCTTAGAAAAAGCTTTAAGAGACAAAGAAATCTTAGAAAAATAATAACTACGTGTAGACCTCAAAGATACACCTATGTGGCATGCAATGGTTCTTCAAAAATACTACCTGCAAATTCTTATGAGCGTTGACTAAAAATTATTTGAAAAAGGTTCCCATTTCAAGCAGGATACGGATAAACAAAGTAATAAACATAAATAATGAGAACCCATTTGTCTGACTACTAGTGATATCAATAAGGAGTTATATGTGTACTAGGTACTTACACTACAGCCTAAACCACAAGATTGAGTATTTTCTTAATTACAACTAAAAATTTGAAAATACACATAAGACACCTCTAATACAAGCAGTCAGTTGGAGTTTGAAGACTTCATATGTTGTTCATATACTGATTTTAAAACTTTCAGATATATATTTGTCATTTCATTACGTAATGTTGCTATAGTTCAAATTAACAAAGGAAAAAAAGTGTTTCTGTAAAGCACTAGTAATTCCTTTAATCCACTGCTTTCATAGTTAACAGAAAAAAACATCCTGTCTAGTAGAACTGGAGCTTAGATCTTTTCATGGCAAAAAGATTCCTTACTTATCCCACACTTTTTCAGCTTTATAGGTAGGTTTCTGAAAAGCCAAATATCGACAAAAAACCAGAAAGAAATAAAACTGATAAATTAGGGATATTTTTTATTTCTGTCCTCAAATAACATACCTGCTTGTATCTTCAGCAGTATTATTACAAACTTGAACAAAACAGACATGGGACAATTTCAGTCTCTTACTGTAACCTTATCTCTACATTTTAAAAGTTTATCTTTCACTTATGAGTTTCATGTTTTAATTTGGGAGAATGTTTTTTATGGAACGCTCTCACTTGAGAGAGTGGCTGCTGCACTAACCAGAATGGCAGTAACAAAAGACTGAAAGGTAAACCTTCATAAAGATTCTCTAACACAGACTGCTTGGCTTGCAATGAGCCCCAACAGATCACAGGACTCCACATTCAGTCATTTGTGACGTCCTTATTTATTCTTTTGAACAGTTCACTTTGGTAAAAGAAAAAAATCCATATCAAAAACCTGTACGTCTATGTGTATGGTTACTGTATCGGGGAGGGGTTACTTTATGGGGGAAAAAGGTTCGAGAGATACTGGAACCTGGAAAACTAGACACTGTTGCTAGTTAACAAAGTAACTATTTATTATGAAGGGTGGCTAACAGTAAAAACAGGCACTCAAGTGAAAGGATTAGGAAGGAGAAAAGTGAACAAAAAACCCTAAAAGGAAGGTTCGACACCCTACTCACCCAGGTGTCACCTATAAGAGAGTCTTACCCACTCTAACCAGTAATAAAACCTCTCTGCAGCAGCTGCGTGTTCCGAAGGGCTGGCAGGCTCCCACTTCAGCAGGCGTCCCCGCTAAAAGCAACTTGGTCCTTTGTGAAGAGCCGGCACCCCAACACGGAAAGCGTGTCTGCTTTTATACAGTTCATTGAGAACACCTGCCTGGGGAGGTGTGGCCAGTACAGCCCCGTCAGGGGTGCTCAATCCCACTCCCTTGGTTATGTAAGTGCACCCCTCCTGCGCATGCGTGAGAACTTTGGAAATCCCCTCACGCATGCGCAGTGAGTCCTGGGGGTCTTTCCCAATTGAGGCTGGGGGAGAGCCTTCCTCATTTCATTGTCACTTTCTCCTCCAAATGCCCTTGACGAGCCATTGACCAGTCACAAGAGACCAATTAAAACAGTTTATACAGAAGTTCTCCCTCCAAGGCCAAATTCACTGTTTTATCAGTGAACTTGGCAGGGAGAACTATAAACTTCTGCAGGTGGCTAAGGCCAAACACAGACCAAAAATATCATCCCAACTTCGTCCCAATACAGTTACTGAGGTGAAAAGGCTAGTTAACAGTTAAACACTATTTGCTTCAAACTTAGTAGTGAAGTAATACACAACTGGAGTGGAATGGTGCTGCAGCAGTGCTTATGGCACAGCTTTGGATCAACATTTACAGGCACTATCAAAATGTACATCTACAACTCAGTTTGTATAGTCGACCAACTCTCACTTTCTCTTATCTCATTAATTATATGAGGAAAAAAATGTGTCGAGATTGTCACTGCTGTATGTCTTTTACAGAGAGAACCATAGAAGACTTGATTTCTTCAGTAAATCATGAACATTACATTCACTGCTACGGAAGGAACTGACATTTGCAAGGCGGACATGTTTTAAAGTATGAATGGGTCTTCCCACAAAATGTTACACTTGATCAATTTTTCCCATTGGATGAGAGCGACCTGAATATCTGAACAAGTACACGGTACTTCCATAGTTAGTTATATTTTATTCTCATGAATATTTTCTGTTTCAAAAAAAAAAAATGTATTTCCTCTTATACCCAAAAGTAAGAGGAAGACAACTCTGCCAACATGGAAAACAAGATAATGACTAGGAAACCCTCTTTTATCTTTTAGGATTTCTTCCAGATCTAGTCAGTAATGTTATTTACAGAGTTTCAAATAAATAACAACTGAATGCAAACCTATGACTGAAAAAGAATATCTAATGACAATCAGAGCCTAGAAAATATGAAATTCTCAAGAAAATTCTCAAGTAAATTTTTTGACATACACTACAATTCTATATCACTGCTAAATTCAATACAAAGATTGTAGTAGTTCTTGCAGGAAAAATGAAAACCAGTGCACTGGCAGGTAAAAAAACCCTAATAGTCTTTAAATGACAGACTGACAAATTAAGGTATTGGGAACATTTTTGATAATAAAACCTCTGTATACTTTTTATTATTAAAAACTGTTACAAACTAGTATTATTTGGTTTTCAGTTACAAAATTGCACAGTAAATTGTAGATAAAACTACTCAGCAAATGCATTTCACTCTTCAATGTAAATTTTCATTTAACAAGGAAATAAAAACAGAAAGTTGAACTCTGTAGATGTGATTTTAAAATATTCGCTGTCCAATACACAATGCATTTTGCAAACTAGGTAGAAGAACTTTAAAATGGTTTTTTTGTTAGATTGTTTGTAAATTCAGAAAAGTACTCAACAAACATTAGTATTAGGATGCCCAAAAAACTCAGAGTAATAGAACACACCAGTGTGTGTAAAAGTGCAAATCTGGAGGAAAAGGCATTTCAGTATAACTTCTGAAAAACTCACAGCCAATTGAAACAAAAAACAACAAAGCAAAAAACTAACCAAAAAAAACCCCAAACAAACAAAAAACCCACAACAACAAAAAAACCCCACTCAAAAAACACCAAAATCAAAAGACCCCAAAAACATATCAAGAAAAAAAAAGCATGAGCAAAACTTCAAAACTCACGCAATATTCAATTCAATGCTTTCAGATGAAAAATTTTGTCACTTATAAGTTCTCATACTAAAAACATACTTGCAGACAATGCCCCTCTATCAAAAACCGGAGAATAAAGGGAAAAGACAAAAGGTACTTTGTTTTAAAGTAACGAAGTCATAGAACTTGGTAGAAACCTCTAAGAAATATGGTTGTAATAAAATAAAATTCATTGTAAATCTCCCTTATAAGTCAGTATCCATTTTGGTAAGTTCTTTAAACTGAATAAATACCATTTTTGCAAAATATTTTTATCTCAGTGTCTTGTTTACAAGTCCCTATGCTATTTCTTCATTGCATTTGTGCCACTGGTACTATCAAAAAAGACCAAGTCCCTGAAACATTTCTTTCAGCAATTAAAAAGCATCAAGATTCTCAGTTGTTTCAAAATGGCAGCCCTACACTTTGAAACAAAATACATGAAGTGGATTATATTGACAGTAATCATTAAGTTCCAATGCCTAGGGAGGGAATGTGTAATGGGAAAATTTACTGCATTTACTCAAATTATTTTTAGACTAAAACTGTTGTACTATAGCATTCTCAAAGCTCCAGCTACATTTTGCCCCAAGACAGATCACTCGAACATGACAGATTCCCAAAACTAGTTTTCTAGATCTTCTTTTATGTGCCACATATCAAGAGACTTTCAAAATCCTAGTGATTTTTTTTTAACTGCAAAAGACAACTATCAGATTGCATGCCTGTTTCTTTTCAGATGTCCTAATGAAAAGCATCAGTTCTTTACTTAAATATATAAATAAAACAAAACTTCACAAACCTCACGTTTATGTTAGGGAACTTTAAGCTACTTTAGAGGTTTCTAATGCTCCCGTCTCTTTCTCTGTATCAAAAAAGGTTTGAAAAAATCACAGATATAAAATGATGATTAAGCTGAATTTCTGGTCCTCTTTAAATAAATCACTTTAAGACAGAGGAAATTATACAAATTGATAAAATTCTGTAGGCATTCTAGAACAGGAGCACAATTACTAATACTTGAATAGGATAAAATTTAAGTAACTAGTAGCAGAGTCTTACCTTGATCAAATGGTTTACCCGGACTCCATGTACGAAAATAATCATCCTGGAGAGGGAGAAACAACTCAAATTTAGTAAAACATAAGGAATCAATGTATACACAAAAAACTCATAGTATCATGAAAGACAGAAGATGTATACCAACCTCTACTTCCTAGAAAAGGCAAGCAGGAAAATAAAATAAAAAAAAAAAAGGAGAGAAAAAGATTACAATTATCATAATGGGACAAATTACACAGAATAAAACAGTATAATTCAGAGGCCATTTCCACTCATAAAATAAAAATGCCATTCAAAAATGTTACTCCTTAGCATTTAAAATAGAAAATGTATTTCTCATAGTACCTGTATAGGTAATGTTTCTAACACCGCTTTTAAAATGTTACAGTAGTTTTCCTGTACTTTAACTTCTAAAATACTGAAAAACTTAATTACATTTTCACTGATTGAGTTTTCAAAAGTAAAGCTTCAAAGCTGCCATCAATAAATTCAGCTATCTTAAAGAATGATACATGAATTTTTGAAAAATACATATTTTGTTATATAGCTTTCAATTGCATCAGTGAGACCTTTCATTAGGTAAGTCTAATTAGCTGTATCATCTTAAAAACATAAAATATCTTCCTAATTATGTCATCAGCTATATTAGGCTCCAATTTCAAGAAAGAAAACCTTGAATTAAATAAATTGCAGAAATAAATTACAAATCCATAGCCAAAACAATAAATTGATCTGCATATCTCAGGTAATACGTGGCACAGGAAAATGACTGGAATTGTTTATTATTATGTGGTAATCTAACTCCCTATTCTGTAGAACAAAATATTTAAAAGACTACACCAAACATTTTAAGACTGCCTAAATTAAGCTTCACAAACTGAAGTGGGTATACTGTCAAATGCAGCAGTTCCATCTACCTTGCTAAAAGACCACTGTAAAGAAATCTCAATTTAAATTTAACTACTGGGAAAATGTGAGTCTCATGCAGTTGTCAAAGCCACAATCATAACTTAAAAACGATCAAGCATCAAACACATCTTTGCAGGTACAAAACACTTGCTGGGTTTTAATAGTTAAAGATTTTTACCTCAAATGAAAAGAAAAAAAACCAACCAAATAAACGAACAAACAAAAAACCCCCAAAGAACCCAAACAAACAGTGCTTGCAGCCTAAACCATATTTCACTGATGAGGTTTTATCTAGTGAAAATGTTGTTATGGAAATGTGTGCTTTGAAAGAGAAAGAAAGAAATGAGCAGAATCTGGAAGTGCAAAATTAACCATATTTCTGTACCGATACTTACATATTCCTACACTCTGATGCCGCACAGATTAACAATCTATGAATCAATGTATGTTATTTGCCTTTTTTATTATTTTTTAAGTAATAAAAAAATTTTTTTAAAGTAATAAAAAATTTCACAGACCTATTGGTTTTTGTTAATCACCCAAGAAATAAGCAGAAATTATGATTATGATAGCATTTTCCCATTATTCCTCCTAATACTAACTATGGAGATGTTATTCCTGCAGTGGTGTTTGTGAACACGCTTGAACGAGCTGTAACGCGATGCTGTTCCATGAACACCACCATAGTGGCAAAACTTACAATTCTTGAAAACACATCAAAGTGGTAGATTCTCTTTCCATTTCTACTAAATCAACAATGTTCACTCACAACAAGCCCATGCAGAAAATAGTGAAATATCAGAATAACTAGGACATAAAGCTATCAGAACAAAAGAGGAGTCATTCTGAGTGAGACAAAAATCCCTTCTAAGGAAAAGCAGCCTGCATTTTGCTTAAGGAAGAATGTACAAGTGTGGGTTGTATAAATTACATGTTCTCAAGTTGGCCTCAAACCAACCAGAAGATAAATCAATTCTTGTTCATTTCTATCCTGCAGACAACTCCACAGATCTCAAATATAATATCCCTCAGGCATTTCTAGAAGTCTTGCTGACTTACTTCTGTCTACAAAGCAACTTCACACCTTTCTCATTACCATTCTCTGACTCTCTTCCAAGTCTGTTTTCTTGATAACTAGAATTGTGCAGAGCATTCAAGATGAAGCAGCATTATGAATCTCTCCACAACACAACACTACTTTGCTCTCTATTCTTCTCCCCATTATGTCTACCTCTCTGCTGTCTTTGTAGGCTGAGTGGGAGGAGTGTTTTTGTTCTTTTTAATTGCACTATAGTTTCAATGGGTTATGGTTTGCATGGAATTTTCTATCTTAAATACAAAACATATATACCCACGTACCATATATACCTATACTGATTGTTCTAAAGAATTAATTTTTCAAATCATCTGTGACTTAAATAAAATCCATTATTGAATATGTTAAACAAAATTTCTACGTCCCTCTACAAACAGAACTGTTTAGAATTGATTGTCAGATTAAGTAAGGGTTGTTTAGAATTGATTTTCAGAATAAATAAGGAAATTGCTTCAATAAATCGTAGTTCCACAATTTTACAAATATTCCTAAAGCTGTTTATCCTATCACATGGCTTCCTGTTACATTCAAACCTTTCCTAATCTTCAGTCAGTAAGTTGGATTATAATAATGTTCAATATCCTCTGCAGAATGTAATCGAGATCATAATATAATTTACAAAGCCTCATTTTCATAATTTTAATATAAAACCCAGAATGAACAAATACATGGTTCTACCTCAGTGAAGGCTGAGTAGCATCACAGCATCTCTAGGTAAAGTATCCTGTAACAATCTATAAATTGAAAAAGCAATGTCTCAGGATCTCAGGAGAGAGTCTGTCTTCTGAACTTTTTCAGGAGCGGTTCCTTGCCTTTGTCCCAAACATGTTAAAGGGCAAGTTACAAAAGTATACAGAATAAAGTCACAAATTTGTAACAGTAACCATACCATTTATCCAACACTTTCTAGCTAAAGATATTCATACATTTTAAATAGAAAATTCATTCTTACTGCTCTACTTGAAACTGTGTGAAATGTCACTATTTCTTTCAAGTGTGTCTCTGTCTGAAAGACGCAAAGCACTTCTAACAGCCATGGATGATGGATTTCAATGAGTTTAATATCCATGCCTTAAAATTATGCACGTTTAAGCATTACGCTCATTCAGGGTCATAGTGATTAAGTGTTTTTTAAGAACTTGAGTTCGTGCTACAATTACTTACGTACTTTGAGACTAATATGTTTTTTTCTTTTTCCTGAAAAGGTCTTACTGTAAAAAAAAAAATCATCTATGTCATCTGAAAATCTGACAACTCTATAAAAAGAACAAAAAAAGTAGCTACATGACCAAAAAAAGCAGTTTAATCAGAAAAGATGGGGGGGGGAGGAAAAAAGGTATTTTGTCTTAAAAATTTACTGCTTCTTTTTGGACTTTAATATTCTTCTATATGAATTCTCACATTCTTAAATGTGTTACTACGTAAGTTATATGAGTTAAGTATGAGTTACTACATAAGTTTTATAAAATACACAGTCAAGTATGGTAAAACAGAAAAAAGCTCACTTAAAAATAATTTGTTATGCAGTAGTTTCTATCTTTTAATAGAGATAGAAAAATACGACCCTATCACTTTTCTTTCTTCTATAAAGGCTTTGTTACATCATTTCACTGATCTCTCCTCTGCAACATTTTCTGTAGATGCTGCCATATAATGCTTGAATTATTATCCAAGAGATATCTATATTCTAATGAACATAATGATACATGGTAGATATGATGACTGACTCAGAGAACAGCAGGTGTCCAAGAGCAAGGAGGGCAGCTTCCTCACAAATGTTTTCAGACCAAGGTTGACCTGAAAAGCTGAATACAGAAAACTCACCCCTTGTTTTGTATTCAGCATTTTAGCTCTAGTATGGTCTATACATTAAAAGCTTATATCTTAAAATCAAAGCTGATTTATAAGAGAGAATCCACTAAAATTGAAGCAGCTTTCTGATTTTGTAATTATATTCCAGCCAAGTACAGTTTCACTGCGACAGCACAGGGATATTGTTAACCATATGACTTACAAACTAACAATTTTAGAAAAAGTCTAATAAGCAACTGTTCAATATCAGGTACTGCTTCAAGAAACAGTATTTCTAACAGTTACCAAAGCAGAGACAAGATTTTCAGAACTTTATTCAACACCAAACTTAAGTCTGCCCATACAAAATTCCACTCAGATTTTATACAACTTACATAATGCAAAAAAAACCATTTTACTGCTGGCCTCCCTATTCCTACATAGGGGTTTGGGTTGTTTTTAACAAAGAAGACCGACACACTCCATTTTGTAGAAGGACGTGAAATCACATCTGACAATTTCAAAAGCAAAAATCTGTCAGGCTGCACATGCTCCCTAGCAAAACTTAAAACCTACAGTTCACATTTAGATTTTTTTTTCCTCTCTGCCATTAGCTATGAGACTATTTTGCTCTTTTTAATTTCAAGGAGTTTTTAATGGGCTTTCTATTCCAATTCTTATATCTGCATGTCAAGTACACACATCTGCTTCTCATCTGATGTGAAAACTCTTTACCTCTTTTAGGCTAGGTCTTTGCTATTTCATAGATACGCTATTTTCAGACTCCACTTCAACAAGCCAACTGAATAGGCTAACTATCCCACACTGTAGCTGCTTGCCTCAAGCTCACTTCTGCACCAAACTTGAGCTCACCAACTATCTCCCCTTCATGTCTTTGCACCTGTACAATAGTAAGGGTTTGACTCATCTTCTCCAAACCTTCCCAGTGACTCTAACATATTTCTGTATCCTAAGTCTCACTGAAAGAGCTGTGGTAGGGTTGTCATCCAATACCTCTGTCTCAACCTCTTCCACTGCTGGAAAAAGAAAGCACCAGAAGTGTGCAGAAATTTTTTTTCAGTTATGTTTTACTCCAGGACCTTCAGTGTAATGTCAGCAACACTGTCATTACCCTACAAAGCTTTAAATTGCTGGTCACATGGAGAACTGTTACAGCAATAAAAGGATCAGACACCAAAAAAGCTGATATCATATGGGAAATCTACCACTCCTAAACACTGCAGTTTCCTCAAATAAAATGAGGGCCACAGACAGAATACACAGAATAACTAAGATACTACAACCACATCTAATGAGATTACTACCCCAAAGCATAAACTGTAACTGAGGAAGTGTAA